ATAATGTTTAAGATTTGTACTACCTCGGGGAGAGTACTTTATAATGTTTAAGATTTGTACTACCTCGGGCAGAGTACTTTATAATGTTTAAGATTTGTACTACCTCGGGGAGAGTACTTTATAATGTTTAAGATTTGTTTTAAGTCGGACAGAGTACTTCATAATGTTTAAGATTTGTACTACCTCGGGGAGAGTACTTTATAATATTTAAGATTTGTACTACCTCGGGGAGAGCACTTTATAATGTTTAAGATTTGTACTACCTCGGGGAGAGTACTTTATAATGTTTAAGATTTGTTTTAACTCGGGAAGAGTACTTCATAATATTTAAGATTTGTACTACCTCGGGGAGAGTACTCTATAATGTTAAAGATTTGTCCTACCTCGGGGAGAGTACTTTATAATGTTAAAGGTTTGTTCTACCTCGGGTAGAGTACTTTATAATGTTTAAGGTTTGTCCTACCTCGGGGAGAGTACTCTATAATGTTAAAGATTTGTCCTAACTCGGGAGGGGAGAGTACTCCCGTTACGTTTTAATATTTGTCCTACCTCGGGGAGAGTACTCTATAATGTTTAAGATGAATCCTACCTTGGGGAGGGTATTCTTTAATGTTTAAGAATCGTCTTACCTCGTTTTTGAGCACTGAAGTGGCCTGAGAATCCCACGGTTGTGAGCCCAATGTAGTTGACATCTATTTTTGGTTTAGGATCCTGCCATTCAATAACTTCCTCCCAGCCTGAGTCCGTCGCTCTGAACACCTGTATGTGTCCTCCTGCCCATCCCACCATGAAGGTGCGATACTCTTTGCAGTCAACCAATCCCTTTTTTTCAACATTTTCACTACTCTCTCCCTGCTTTTTCGTCCTTATTTCTGATCCTTTTCCGCCTATAACGATCTCATACAGGTTCTCGTCAGTGTCTTTATCTTCTTTCAAACCCACGTGAACATTATCGCAGGCCTTCACTTCAAAAATGACGGATTTGTCTCCTCCGGCAGCACATTCTGGGGAGCTCAATAGTGTGTATGCATATGTGTTTGCAGTACTTACTGGAGTGATGAATGCATCGAGGTTTCCTCCTTAAAAATAATCGTTGTTAAAAAAATTGATTGTGCTGAAGTATTTTCTGGGACTATTTAACAAATTAAGTACAAACTAAACATCATTCACATACTAAACGAGTATCAAATCAGACTATACACAATATATGATAATAATTTAATCTTCCTTGTAACAAGCATTTTCATTGGCTTAAACATTTATGTTATCAGCCCATAACGTAAAAAAATGTCGTCGCCGTTTGTAACGTCGCTTTTGATTAGCTGATACAGCGGCGTAATAATTTCTAAGAGAAAAGAGTCCATCAATAAAAGTGGATTTCCACAGAGATTGTGTATAGCAGATGTTATATCTCCATAACATAAAAAATATATTCAATTTAATCCTGAATTATCAACACACAAGTCAAATTATAGACAACACACCAGTTACATTTAGAAATACACAGCATATTAGACATAACACTTGTCACAAATTAGAAAATACCCTCTTCATAACACAATAATCACATATAAGATAATACGAAATGAACATATTAGATATCAAAAAGGTAAAATATTGAAAATAAGAGAACACCAGTCACGATTGAGACAACAAACCAGTCATTTATGGACAACGAACTTGTTGAGATAACGCACTTTTCACATATTTTTAAAAGCATTAAACTGCCTTCAGACTTGGTTCATAGGCGATATGAATGCCCAATGCATTGCAGGAAAACTACATGAACCGCTTTTACGGACAGTGAACCAGTGAGAGCTTAATATAATATGAAACAAATTTTCCAACTTATATTAATCACTCTTTTTGGCCCGTATCAAAGTTCGCTGGGGGATGTAAATGTGGGAGGAAACCGGAGTACCCGCAGAAAACCCGGGCAGATGACCAAAAATCTTTTTCACTGTGAAACTTCAAACATATGACCCCAAAGGTTTATATTTCTCTGTCTATTTCACACAGGCGTGATTATAGTCACCCAAAATGTCATATAATACCTATAAAGAATATACCTCTACAGTAACAATCAACAATGGTTCTATACCTCTACAGTAACAATCAACAATGGTTATATACCTCTACAGTAACAATCAACAATGGTTATATACCTCTACAGTAACAATCAACAATGGTTATATACCTCTACAGTAATACTAAACAATGGTTATATACCTCTACAGTAAATATACCTCTACAGTAACAATCAACAATGGTTATATACCTCTACAGTAAATATTCCTCTACAGTAACAATCAACAATGGTTAAATCCCTCTACAGTAACAATCAACAATGATTATATACCTCTAGAGTAACAATCAACAATGGTTATATACCGCTACAGTAACAATCAACAATGGTTATATCCCTCTACAGTAACAATCAACAATGGTTATCTACCTCTACAGTAACAATCAACAATGGCTATATACCTCTACAGTAACAATCAACAATGAGTATATACCTCTCCAGTAACAAACAACAATGGTTATATACCTCTACAGTAATGCTAAACAATGGTTATATACCTCTACAGTAAATATACCTCTACAGCAAAAATCAACAATGGTTATATACCTCTACAGTAATACTAAACAATGGTTATATAACTCTACAGTAACAATCAACAATGGTTAAATCCCTCTACAGTAACAATCAACAATGGTTACATACCTCTACAGTAACAATCAACAATGATTATATACCTCTACAGTAACAATCAACAATGATTATATACCTCTGCAGTAACAATCAACAATGGTTATATACCGCTACAGTAACAATCAACAATGGTTATAAACCTCTACAGTAACAATCAACAATGATTATATACCTCTGCAGTAACAATCAACAATGGTTATATACCTCTACAGTAACAATCAACAATGGTTATATACCGCTACAGTAACAATAAACAATGATTATATACCGCTACAGTAACAATCAACAATGGTTATATACCTCTACAGTAACAATAAACAATGGTTATATACCGCTACAGTAACAATAAACAATGATTATATACCGCTACAGTAACAATCAACAATGGATATATACCTCTACAGTACCACTCAACAATGGTTATATACCTCTACAGTAGCAATCAACAATGGTTATATCCCTCTACAGTAACAATCAAGAATGGTTCTATACCTCTACAGTAACAATAAACAATGGTTATATACCGCTACAGTAACAATCAACAATGGTTATATACCTCTACAGTAACAATCAACAATGGTTATATACCTTCATAGAAAATGAACATGTCCGTTTGCCGACAATACACAGTGGTAACCTTTGTGAAGATTTGTTACATACCTCTGACGTAATAGAACCGTTTTAATTCATTGTATTCATCAAGGACATCTATTGCATCATATAGTGCTTTTTTAATATCGTCGTAATCTCGTGTTGTAATGGAACCTCTCCTTCCCTCGTCCACTTCCTTGTCTGTTTCCAGTTCCTTGATTTCTTTAAGAACATCTACCAGCTCCTCATAAATTTCTGCTGTAGATCTGGCAGACACCGCGTTGATCAACAACAATGAGAGTAACGCTGACAGGAGAGCGTCGAAGATCATTTTGTTGTCTAGCTGCAATTAAACAAAAATGAGAAAGATGAAATGAGTTGTACTTTTTGGATAATGAGATTTCAACGAAAAAGAATTGATAAGCCATAGTCACTAAGCTACCATGGAAAACAATAGCGAACCCCAACCGTGTCAATCACAAGTCCTTTGATATATATATTCCCCGCTTGTAGAACATGTTTGTTGTAATCTCTAATTGTATGAAAATACGCGTCGAATCGTCGATGAAAGCTTAACACTTGACTTTTTGAATTTGCATACAAAGTTTGGTTGTAATCGAATCTTTTACAGGCGAGATAATGCACGCAAAACAATCAACCAGTCAGAAATCGGTAGCTCATTAAAAACTGTAAATATGCACGCATCGAATTGGCAATAAAACTTAGCCTAACACTTGCCAAATGAACTTTTTTTTGTAGTCATACCAATTTTGGATGAATTATGGAAACGAATTACTAATTGGGCACTCGAGTACAAGCAAGGAAATATAAAACACAAAGCTCATAAAACAGATAGCTCGCCTTATCAGAAACCCCCACAAAACATCTATTTTGACTTAAAAAGTACGGTAAGTATATACATATTGAGTTGACAATCTAAAATAACTTGACACGTGCCAGTGTCAAGATATAGATCAGATTTGGTTAAAATCGAGCAATTTTTTTGAAGGTTATTGCACGAAAACAAGACGAAGAGAGAAGCAGACACCCCACCCTGAGTTATCTCCAAAGGGGAAATTAAATGGTGATTCAAATGAGTATAATGATTAAATTATATTTATATCTGATTTTATAGAGGCATTGAAATTTACATGTTTATTTTTTTATTTCCATGTACACTGCTATGGAATGCGTTGATTTTCAGTCATGCTTGTAAGAAACGCTTCTAGATAAAATTAACCAAATACCCATACAAAGACGAAAACAAGAATTATGGAGAAACCAATGTTTTGAAAACAATGATTAGACGAGAAATGAATCATTTAGCTATTAACGAGTGCAAGTTGACGTTTTCGACCTATCTGATATTCAGCTATAAGTTGTATCAGATATATCGCTACTGACTTTACCTGATATACCTGGTTATAAGATATATATTACCGGCAACGATGAGATTTTTCCGAGACATTCATTTGTAATATATATATTACCGGTAAAGTTGTCTTATCCGAGATACTCATTTATAAGATATGTAACCGGTAAAGTTGACTTATCCGTGAAACTCATTTGTAAGATACATAAAACAGGTTGACAGTTGACTTACCTGACATGCAAAGGTATTATAAATATATTACGGGTAAAATTCACTTACCTGAGACACCTGGTAATGAGATAGGTAAAGTTTTCTCCGATCTGTCGTTTTTAACACCAACCGGTCCTTTTAAATACTGAAGTCCCCATAAAAAACATCCTGTTCGCCCACATATAAGCCCATGTGCATGGGAGCGCGTCCCTAGTGACGGGTATCGTCACTACTCTACTATATCCTCAATTATTCCACATGACTGCACAATTGATAATATCATCACGTACATTAGAGCATTTTAAAATAATAAATTTAATTGATCACGCTTTCTTGACGAATATAACTTCTTCTGCTATAAACTGTTATTTTATTCAGTAATAATAAAACATGTTGTATGTGAAAATTTCATGGTTTTAGGTCCAGTCATATTGAATATATATTAGAAAAAATGGGTAAACGTGAAAATGATTAAATTCCACATTTTGAACCCTAGCATTATCGATAGTCCTAGAAGGACAAAATATGTGTATGATGAAGTGTAGTTCATTTTGAGCATACTGTAACGATTGGTGCACACATGCGTGCGTCTAACGGTCATATTTTAAGTGATGTAAGTCTCCGAGGTTGTAGTGTTGATTATGTATGAGTATCACTAGTTGAAATGGTGTTTATTCTTCAGTTTATAAATTGACCGGGTGAAACACCGGACTGGATGCCTTTGACATGGTATTTCAACAAGGTAACACACTGAATTTGGCATCAGATCCTCACTATCGCAAGACGTACCTCTTCTAGCACACATACACACATGCACGTATACATTACACATATTGAGGCACTTTTTAATCGACCTTGGCCGTTAATGTGACGTTGAATGAATTAAAACCAAAGAAAGCCAAACCCTCAACACAAAACATGACGATAATGATAAAGTATTGATATAGGATATGGGTACCTGTTCCAAAATGTAGAGGTACATACATGGATAAGAATTGCAAATTTTACAATTTGTATCGATAGATATCTGTCCCCGTACTCACTACAGTACCCGTAAATATAAGGTCACGTTTCAATAACATCTTGAAGAAATATCATTATTTCATGAATGAACCTCAGTTGCACCTAGATACGTCAGAGTATTATGACGTTCATCACACAGTCGACACCATTTGAATGACACATCACATCTGGCAAAAACTGACAGTTTATTTTTTTTGTATCAGCAACGTTTTTTATGCATATAATGGCTTTGAAAATGAATACGTTTCAAAATTTGGTAGAATATTTACTTATATTTGCAAATAACAGAAGGTCCTGTGCAATGGGTTTGAAAAGTATCTAGTGTGTCTGTTTTAAATGTATTTTGATGTGTTTATCATATTTTTAGATATGTTGGTCCTAGTTTAAGCATAGTTTTTAGAAGTACAAATGTACATGTAGTTTGGATATGGCGTGTTTGTATTCTTATAAATACGGTGTTTGGATTTAGAAGCATTGGCTGCGTTTGGTTTCATTTATTGTTTTACTGAGAACGAAATCGTAAAAAATGATTCCCTGGCTGACAATGTCTTTGTTGAGTTCGATGGCCAGATTTTCCAGCTGCCTGTAGATATTCGTATGAAAACCAGATGTTCCACTCCTCTATCGGTTTTGCTTCTGTTTTCATGTGAAGCTGAATGTAAAGATAGGATTATCATGACTGGTACCAAAACCTTATCATGACTGTGACTGGTACCAAAACCTTATCATGACTGGTACCAAAACCTTATCACGACTGTGACTGGTACCAAAACCTTATCATGACTGTGACTGGTACCAAAACCTTATCATGACTGGTACCAAAACCTTATCATGACTGGTAACAAAACCTTATCATGACTGTGACTGGTACCAAAACCTTATCATGACTGTGACTGGTACCAAAACCTTATCATGACTGTAGCTGGTACCAAAACCTTATCATGACTGGTACAAAAACCTTTTCATGACTAGTACCAAAACCTTATCATGACTGGTAACAAAACCTTATCATGACTGTGACTGGTACCAAAACCTTATCATGACTGTAGCTGGTACCAAAACCTTATCATGACTGGTACAAAAACCTTTTCATGACTGGTACCAAAACCTTATCATGACTGGTACCAAAACCTTATCATGACTGGTACCAAAACCTTATCATGACTGGTACCAAAACCTTATCATGACTGGTACCAAAACCTTATCATGACTGGTACCAAAACCTTATCATGACTGGTACCAAAACCTTATCATGACTGGTACCAAAACCTTATCATGACTGGTACCAAAACCTTATCATGACTGGTACCAAAACCTTATCATGACTGTTACCAAAACCTTATCATGACTGGTACCAAAACCTTATCATGACTGGTAACAAAACCTTATCATGACTGGTACCAAAACCTTATCATGACTGGTACCAAAACCTTATCATGACTGGTACCAAAACCTTATCATGACTGGTACCAAAACCTTATCATGACTGGTACCAAAACCTTATCATGACTGGTACCAAAACCTTATCATGACTGGTAACAAAACCTTATCATGACTGGTACCAAAACCTTATCATGACTGGTACCAAAACCTTATCATGACTGGTACCAAAACCTTATCATGACTGGTACCAAAACCTTATCATGACTGGTACCAAAACCTTATCATGACTGGTACCAAAACCTTATCATGACTGGTACCAAAACCTTATCATGACTGGTACCAAAACCTTATCATGACTGGTACCAAAACCTTATCATGACTGGTACCAAAACCTTATCATGACTGGTACCAAAACCTTATCATGACTGGTACCAAAACCTTATCATGACTGGTACCAAAACCTTATCATGACTGGTACCAAAACCTTATCATGACTGGTACCAAAACCTTATCATGACTGGTACCAAAACCTTATCATGACTGGTACCAAAACCTTATCATGACTGGTACCAAAACCTTATCATGACTGGTACCAAAACCTTATCATGACTGGTACCAAAACCTTATCATGACTGGTACCAAAACCTTATCATGACTGGTACCAAAACCTTATCATGACTGGTACCAAAACCTTATCATGACTGGTACCAAAACCTTATCATGACTGGTACCAAAACCTTATCATGACTGGTACCAAAACCTTATCATGACTGGTACCAAAACCTTATCATGACTGGTACCAAAACCTTATCATGACTGGTACCAAAACCTTATCATGACTGGTACCAAAACCTTATCATGACTGGTACCAAAACCTTATCATGACTGGTACCAAAACCTTATCATGACTGGTACCAAAACCTTATCATGACTGGTACCAAAACCTTATCATGACTGGTACCAAAACCTTATCATGACTGGTACCAAAACCTTATCATGACTGGTACCAAAACCTTATCATGACTGGTACCAAAACCTTATCATGACTGGTACCAAAACCTTATCATGACTGGTACCAAAACCTTATCATGACTGGTACCAAAACCTTATCATGACTGGTACCAAAACCTTATCATGACTGGTACCAAAACCTTATCATGACTGGTACCAAAACCTTATCATGACTGGTACCAAAACCTTATCATGACTGGTACCAAAACCTTATCATGACTGGTACCAAAACCTTATCATGACTGGTACCAAAACCTTATCATGACTGGTACCAAAACCTTATCATGACTGTTACCAAAACCTCATCATGACTGTGACTGGTAACAAAACCTTATCATGACTGGTAACAAAACCTTATAATGACTTTGACTGGTACCAGAACCTTATCATGACTTTGACTGGTATCAAAACCTTATCATGACTGGTACCAAAACCTTATCATGACTGGTACCAAACCTTTATCATGACTGGTACCAAAACCTTATCATGACTGTGACTGGTACCAAAACCTTATCATGACTGGTACAAAAACCTTATCATGACTGGTACCAAAACCTTATCATGACTGGTACCAAAACCTTTTCATGATGGGGACCAAAACCTTATCATGACTGTGACAGGTAACAAAACCTTATCATGACTGGTACCAAAACCTTATCATGACTGGTAACAAAACCTTATCATGACTGGTAACAAAATCCTAGCCAAGTTATTCGATTTCACATTTAGTATCTGCTGCTTTCTATTGTGACGTAGTTCGTGTGTTGTTTACATAAGAGTTATTTTATACGAATTTGGGGTGTTAGTTTTTGTAGGTTTATTTGCTCATTTTAAGAAGTATTGTCTATACAATTTTTAGAAATATATTGGTATAAAATCCTTATTTTTATGAGTTTAGTTGTGTTTGTACATGTATAAGTATTTACGGTTAAAGTTTAGATATGTTTCATATTTTTGCTTTTAGAAGTATTGGGTATTTGGGTATGTTTGTTTTAGGAATATTTTTGTGTATTTTAATATATGGTTGTTTGAGGTTATTTTAAAACATGTTATTTTTATTTAAGTTGTGTTCGTATTATGAAGTATTTTGTATGTTTTAGAAGCATGGGATATGTTAGTTTTTTTATTTATTTTTTATTTTTTTTGTTGTGTTTTTTGATTGGTATATTTTTTTTAGTTTTAGGCGTGTTTGTTTTAGAAGTGTTTTTGTATGTTTGTAGTTATAAGGTGTTAATGGAAAACACAGTTAAGAGAACAGTCCCGAATTCACTGATGATGAAACAAATATGATCATTGAAACATGATTAAACAAGCGTGATAGGTCATCTATCAGCTATTTATGCTTCAATAAAATTTAAGACATAAAGAACATGAAAAATTAAAAGGTAGTCCTAGTTCCTGATTGAACATCTAGTACAGCGCATTAAAAGTTTAGTAAGACGTCATGATATTGACGTATCACAGTAAACATTGATATGTACAAGGTAGTTGGTTAGATACAGGTATGGTTCACTAGTAAAACCACAAGTGTATCTAAACGATCACGGAAACATTAAATAAACGGTTTCACGCTTTGGGCGCAATGAAGACCTAACGCGAGTATAGGGGGAAGTAGAAAAAGGATAAATCAACCAAACTCGACACATACGGGCTGGATTTATTAAAAGCTTCCCTAATTAAG